TGTCAAGTTGCAGCATGTCGGCATGATTGCCGGTCGCAAGATCATCAAGGTTGAGGCCAGTAATAAAGAGACCGAAGAGAAGGTCCTTCTTGGCGAAGCTGAGGTCGAGCAGCCTGTCACCTCCTACGTGTTCACCGGACAAGGATCCCAAGAGCAGGGAATGGGTATGGAACTATATGCCAGCAGTCCTGTTGCAAGGGAGGTCTGGGACCGCGCAGATCGTCACTTCATCGAGAACTATGGTCTGTCAATCATCGATATTGTCAAGAACAATCCCAAGGAACTCACCGTTTACTTCGGGGGCCCCCGGGGTAAAGCGATCCGTCAGAATTACATGTCAATGACCTTCGAAACTGTCAACGCGGACGGTTCCATTAAGTCGGAGAAGATCTTCAAGGAAATCGACGAAGAGACTACATCCTATACTTACCGCTCACCGTCAGGGCTTCTCTCTGCGACCCAGTTCACACAGCCCGCCCTTACCTTGATGGAAAAGGCAAGCTTTGAAGACATGCGCTCGAAGGGCCTTGTCCAAAGAGACAGCAGCTTTGCTGGTCACTCTCTTGGTGAATACTCGGCTCTGGCTGCACTCGCTGATGTCATGCCCATTGAAAGCCTGGTTTCAGTTGTCTTCTATCGTGGATTGACAATGCAGGTAGCCGTGGAAAGAGACGAGCAAGGTCGCTCAAATTACTCGATGTGCGCCGTTAACCCGAGCCGCATCTCGAAGACCTTCAATGAACAAGCTCTTCAGTATGTCGTAGAGAACATCTCAGAGGAAACTGGTTGGCTTCTGGAGATTGTCAATTACAATGTTGCCAATATGCAATACGTTGCTGCTGGTGATGTAAGTGTCTTCCCGTCTGATCGTCGATAGCTCGACATTGCTGACCTCATGACTAGCTACGGGCGCTTGACTGTCTCACCAACCTACTCAACTACCTCAAGGCCCAAAACATTGACATTCCTGCTCTTATGCAAAGCATGTCCTTGGAGGACGTCAAATCGCATCTTGTCAAGATGATTGACGAGTGTGTGAAGCAAACAGAGTCGAAGCCTAAGCCCATCTCGCTAGAGCGCGGCTTCGCGACCATTCCCTTGAGAGGTATCGACGTACCATTCCACAGCACTTTCCTTCGATCTGGTGTCAAGCCTTTCCGATCATTCCTGCTCAAGAAAATCAACAAGACCACCATTGACCCCAGTAAGCTGGTTGGAAAATACATTCCCAACGTTACAGCAAGGCCATTTGAAATCACAAAGGAATATTTCGAGGACGTCTACCGTTTGACAAACTCGCCCAGAATCGCTCACATCTTGGCCAACTGGGACAAATTCGAGGAGGGAAATGAGAGCACGGCTCAAAGCTAGAGAGTTGGAATGTTGTTATAGTACATAGGCTTTATTCTCGTCGTCCATTATAATCCAGTTTATAGGTCCTGTTCCTGAATGAGTGGGCACATGTTTTTGTTTAGTTTTTATTAAGACTTCCATATTCATGGATTATCTGTCAGCTATTGCAGTATCAGTTGTCAGTGCCGGGAGAACATTAAAGGCATCACATATCCAGGAAGGTATTTGATAGAGGGAATGCGTTATCGACGCCTCGTCTTTTGTTTATTGCTACCTCACTAACCGATGGGCAGGATAGTAACCGATCACTTTAATCTTATTTACCATTACACACGATCAAGATACTATAATTCCTAAGAGCCCCTAAGAATGGAACGTTATCCCTTAGGAGAAATCTCTAGGTAGTAATGTGTCAACGTTGCTAACCCGGCCACGTGATTCCAAAGGCCTTTTCCACTTGTTCACATGCGGGAACGTAGCTAGTTCCAACCACCAACGTTCCAGAAGCCTACCTTGAGACCTCAATATGGCCCTCATAATGCCTTCAGCCTTACAAAACCCCCAAGAATTTTTGCGAAAGAAGTTCTCTGCCTATAATCTGTATAACTTGTAACTTGTAAAACGACTACTTCTATATAGGAATTCAAGCAAACTGTTTTATGATTATCTGCTTTGCAGAGGTAACAAGAGAAAAAGACCAGGTGTGAGAGTAGCGCGTCTCTCCATGGAATCGTGATTTAAATCACCATTTCGGGCTACTACGTGTCTGTAAGTACATATGCGTACTATTTTGCCCTAAGCACAGAGCGAAGAAGAAAAGGCGCACCATATCTTCCAGTTGAGCATGCTAGACAGATGACTGATCTATTCTGCTCTGAGCATATAGGAATGGAATCACGTTCACGGTATTATTCTTTGCATTCCATAGATTTAGAACGAGTCATTCACGCTTGTAGTAGGCAGTTAAGCGAGTCATCGAAGGCCTAGGCTTCCTTCAAAATTCCGGGCCGTAGTAGCCGGTCTTCCTTTCCATACACCCCAACATCTTTAACAATCGCTATGAATCTTCTATGGTTCTCCTTAGATTCACCAATACGAGGGCGGAATACCTTCAGCAAATCGCTGCTTAGAATTCCGGTCGGTGGGATAGCGGCATGAATCTCGGCAGGTGTAGGAAAGCCTTGGGCGATGCTTGAAGGCCCTGGCGTAGAGATGCGCGTTGAGCCTGTGGGAAGTCAGTAGTCAGCACACTTTACCTTTTGCAAAGCATGAAAACACATAATGGTTCTGAACATACCCCTCAACGGCTCCGGACTGCTCGCACGACTTCCGGGAAAGCCTCTACTATTCAAGGGAACTGGGCTTCCTACCCTAGATCCTTGCGGTGTACCACTTTGTGGTGTCATCGAGGGAGGGTTAAGCTTCAATTTCTTACTTTTCCCACTTTCCCCTACCTCTCCACCAGATCCTGCGCCACCCTCTAGATCGCTTGTAGAACCTGCTCCCCCAAGCTGCATTTGACGAACACGTTTTTTGCTTACCTGCATTTGCATTAGAGATGAAATTACTCAAGCGACCGAATCATGCACTCACAGGCGCCACCGAGGACGTTCCAGACACGGAAAGAGATGTAGGCTGCGAGGCCTGGGAAGAATACTTGCTCTTTCCTTTCTTGCGAGAAGTATCGGTGCCACTCGCATCTGAAGGGGATCCCAGACGTTTTCGGGGTGCTACTTTCTTCAGAGCGTCGGTGTGCTTTGTTCGGCCAGAGGGTGTGGTATTGACCTTAGAAAGGGGCTCTTTCTTGTCCTTCTCATCCTCCGCCTTGCGCTCCTCTTCCTTCATCCGCTCGGCTTCGCTATCATCGGAGCTCTGAAGGGGTTTAGTCACAATGCCAGAGCACACTGTATAGTTGGGCAGTCTTACCTCTTCGTCGGAGTATGGATTGATGTCCGAGCCACTACTGTAATCGTAGTTCTTCTCTCTTTTCTGAAGTGCCTTCCGTACCTTTTTCCCGAGTACCCGGCGCGCTTCCTTCTCTTTCTTCTCTCTCAGTTCTTCATCCTCGTAATCCTTTTCCTCTTTAAGGTTGAAGACATTCGCCTTCAACTGATCTTGCTTAATTCTTTTTTCAGCCGCCTTTGCCTCCTCATCTTCGTTGAAAAGGTCATCGTGCTCTTCATCGTCCGCAAAGCGATCCTCTTCGAAATCCATGTCATCCGCTTCCAACCCTTCGGCGGCGCCGGGGGTACCTTGTTTCCCAGCATAAACTTTTCGCTGTTTAGCAAATTGTTCCAGCTCTTTGCGCTGAGCCAATTCTTGCTGTTTTTCCATGAACCATCTCGGGTCCTTCACCTTCTTCGCCATGAACCTTTCTGCTTCCTCGATGGTTAGGGCCTTGAATTGATTCTTCGCACTGAACCTGTACCATTTCTCTACAGGAATCATCCTCATCTGCCCCGTGTTCTCGAAGACAAATACTGCATGGGTTTCAGAAAGAGCAGCTTCATAATTGCCAACCCAGATATTCTTGTTGTCGAAATCTTCCAGATGCCATGGCAACGCTTCTTCATACTTGATGCGTGTTTTGGCAATCTCTTCGGGTGTCATATCAGTCCTAGAGACTTGCTGCGTTTTCTGTTTGGGAGCATTTGGTCTTTTCGGCGCCGAGCCCATGGAAGGGGCTATTTGAGCCATATTGTCGGCACGTTGTTTCTCGCGGGCAGCTTTTCTAGCCTCCAGCTCCTCACGTTCAGCGTCGTCACCTTGATTATTGGACTCGGAGCCTGTGCGTTGGTTGCCCATGCCTTTTTCAGTGGTAGTTTCATGTGGACGTGTCCGTGGATCACGACGCTGAAGCCTCACAGGTCGAGTGAACTGTGCTTCGTCCCGAGGGTCGACCGATTTCTTACTTGAGAATCTGGCAATGTGATGCTTCAGCCCTTCTCTGATCGCTCTTTTCGTCGTCACGATAGGATAATCGACAAATGTTTCTGATAACAAAAGTCCACTAAACCCATTTGTTGAGAATTCATTTCCGGAATTTACCCTGGTTGGTTTCTCGGACCTGACCGTCGACAAAGTGCTAGGCGTAGCTTGTTTGGATGGAAGCTTAAGGCCACCATTTGCGGATGTCAGAGTAGACGGCTTTGCTACCGGTCTTCGCTTCGGTCGTACAAGAGGGTCCGCCACTTTTGGTCGCCGAATCCTCATCGGTTGAGGTCCATTTGCACCTGTCTGAGCTCGCGGAGCTGTTTCATTTGGTAGGGGCGTCATAGTAGCTTTTGAGGGGTGTTCAGGCTTGATGGCGATCGAGCCAGCAATATTGGTAATGCTTAGATGCAGATGCAAGTAAAGGACTTCCAATGTGATACTAGGGTCAAATGCACCAGCATAAATCTCGGAATAGAAAGTGAGATGAAATGTAGAATGGAGTAGAATGATAGTGATGTGAATGAATGAACAGTGGTGTCTGTCCACCTTGTTAGGGAATGGATTATGTAAGCAAGGGCCTTTTGTTGCGATCGAGCCTTTGTTAGTTGAAAGGTCATGCAAGACCCCACACGAGACATTGTATCATTGGCAGATTTACTTCCTTATGTGCAGTACACATTTTGTAATGAGAATTTCCCGCTAGAATTCTATGTGTTACCAGAGTGTGAATAAATTGTCCAGGAAGCATTGTTTCTAAGCTAACAATACTTGCTAAGAATTGAAGCTCAATACACTTTAGTTCCAACCCCGTGCCATTTCAATTTTCTGGGATCCTCGATTACACGGATCGACCTAGAATATCTCAACAACATTTTGATCATCGCCTGAGGGGGCTGTATTCAGGGTGTCGGGTGCATTTTCCGCCAGAAGCTGGCTTGTTTTATCCTCGCCTTCTTCATCTCGCATCAAAACTTGGACTAGGCGATCACAGGCATCACGCACATCCTCATTATTCACGTGGAGGTGACATTCTCGAATGATTGGATATACTTGAACAGCCCTCATCCTGTCGCGCCCTTCTCGTGTTGTGGTGAGCAACAAAAGCGTTTCAATGTGTGTTACGATGATGCTGGTGTCGGTATCTCGCTGTTTGTCAGGCGGCAACAGCTGGAGATCAGGCAGCATTTCCAGTGCTTCCTCCTCAGCATATTCCTCTGGACCAGTAATGGGTAGCAATATGTAGGGAAGGATATTGGCCTCGTCCTCGGACAAGAGTGTGGGATGAAAGGGAACGTCAAATGCGACATTCTTGATCGTGGACGCTACTCCCTTTCTTCGGATGGTGCTTTTGTGCTCCGTGAACACGGTGAGCTTTGTCACTGGCACAACATCATCATACTCTTGCCGCGAAGTGAAATATGCTCGACCAAGCTCAGTTTTGGAAAGGTCAGCAAAAAGATAAGACAAGTAGTCAAAAGTTGCATGTTCGTTGAGACCATTCTCGGCTCCCTTCACAAAGCAGTCCATCAGCTGGTCCATCGCATTAGGTGACTTGGAGACTGCCTCTGGTGCTTTTCGCTTGAGAGTAAGCAGCCTTTCCATCTTATTAGATTTTGCCAAATTGGCGAAAAGCATGGCAAAGTCATCCGCGTTCGGCTCCTTTAAGTTCTGTCATATCCCACGACTTAGAATTGGGTCCTTAATGTAGCGAGAGAATGATCGAGGTTGAAAACTTACTGTGATTTTTAGAAGAAGCGTCTCAAGGAAAGCATCATCTTCCGCAAGATTGGTCAGCACCTCATCATCCGCAGAAAGGTTGATGAGTATTGTCAAGGCATTTTTGGCAATTGGCTTTGATCGGCAATCACATAGGGTCAACGTCAGTAATCCTCTGCAAGTGCAGGTAGACAATTGAGGGTGGGCCAGGGACACTAACTGCATAATCGCGAGCCAGAAGCTTGAGATCCCGCACCGGCAAGAGTTGCTGGCGCTTGAAGAGTTCTGGCTGGGCAGTGGAGAAACCAACGAGGTTTTCGCACGCTGTCAAAGCAGATGTCAGGATTATGTTGAGCCAAGTAGCCGTGACAAGGGTAGGCACGCAATGGGGAAGGCGGAAGTATAACGAATCTTGACTCAGTAGCTGCGAGGGATATCGGATACTATATACCAATTTGTCTTATCTGAGTATTGCCATGGTGGAGGAATTCGACGAGCTGTGCGAGTAGAAGAGTAGACCATTAGCCGCCGAGAGCCTTCAGCATAGGGTCAAGGATGTATATGGTGTAGTGTTTGCCTACCTCTTCTAGTTCGGTGGGCATTGTAAAAAAATTGTTGAAGGTCTCGAGATCGTTATACAGGACCAGGACAGCAGACTGTAAGAAGCTATGCTGCGTGTAGAGAATTTGACTCTTGCTTCTAGACAGGTTATCTCTGTCTCTATGCCACTCGCACCTGAATGCCTTGCTTTGCTGTCTTTGCTTGTTGAAATTTTTTTTCTTCGCCAGTCAGTTTCTTGTCCATCCACCCCGCCCCCACCCGCTACCCGCTTGTACTGTACATACCTCCGTGGTGCTATGTAAAGGTACCGTACGAAGTGTGTGCGTTGATGATAGGTGCTCGCCCAGCATGATCAATTGGCTCTTTCTTCACTTTAAATTCTGAAACCAGTGCAGTCATATTTTGGGCCGATCTATCAAGCTTATCACTGCATATCACAAGGGAGGTTGGTGAGGCATGGCATAATTCGAGAATGTATCATAATCACAATCCAGTAGGTAGTAGTCTTAGGTATTTATATGTGTGCAAGACCACGAGGTGCTGAGCTGCGTGCATACAGTCACTGATAAAGTGTGTGCGTACACCTCCCTCCTCTTCTGATGGTATTTCAATCGTATAGTTCGAATATTTACACTTTAGTCTACCAGCAGAATTCATGGTAGAGCGCCCTAAACCATACTGATGCATACAGAGATCAGGAAGGCGGTGCGTAGGTGGGGTGCACACTCTCCAATCACTGTAGAGTCTAGATTGAAATGTCTACTGCCACTTCCACGATCCATGAGGATATCATTCAAGTTATGGAATTGGAAAGTTCCCAGTTCAAGGTCGGTCTCCAAGCACCGTAGCCCCCATCCGATGAGGTCAAGGCCTCACTAGCATATGACAGAGCACGAGACTAGTAAATTCAACGTCCAGTCTCTTACTGGATGTTGAAGTACGAGTTACATTGTCTGAGACCCAGCCAGAGGTGTGATCTCTTAATCCCAATCTTGGTGGTGGTGACTCTCAGGGTTCGCTTTACCAGACTGGGATAGTTCCGCATTTCCAAAGTGGGATTCAACAAGATGTTGTACGACCGGCCACCCGTGTGCATTTGTGAACATTCTCCGTACAATAATGTTGTTATGTGCATCAGGCTCAAGACGTACAAGGACCTTACGCCAAGTCAAATCTCGGTGGTAAGCCCTGGCTATTTTCTCCTCGACCCCAAGGCCGCTTTGAGCCTCGCCAGAGTTGCCATGCTCTCCATGTAGATGGTCTTCCGAAGAATTGAGGGCATTATTTGTTGACCTTCTCTGTGAAGGCCCGAGTGTAAATGCTCGTCGCTTGGAAGCCATTGGTGGTGGTATATCTTCAGGATGATATATGCGATCATGAAATATTGTTCTGGGTCTCGACGCAGGATCGAGTATAAATTCAAGAGGAGGAAGAGGAGGCATGAGAAGATCACTGGCTGACTCGAAGAAGGTTGTCTTAGGTGGAGCAAAAAGCCCATATTCATGATTTTGTCCACCAACAAGCGTTTCGCGATAATGCGAGCTAGTAGAGTGACAGTTGTGTGTAACCGGATTGGGCGTTGCAATGGTCTGACTGCGCTTATATATTTTGGTGTGCTTTGGCGCGCCGGATGCGCTCTCGATCTCCTTCGGGCGAATGAATGAAAATAGCTTGGCTAGAGTGCTAGACGAATGCGGTTCCACTAATGTCCCTCCTCCCTTGGGATCAGCGAGTGCATCAGAAGAAGTTGGGCACGGTCGTCTGGTCGCAGGCTGACTGGTCGAAGTGAATTCAGGGCGTTCGGTGATGGTGCAATTGATCCCCGATGAAGAAAGTTCTTGCACGCGTGACGTCGTCTTGCTGTCACTAAAAGCCTCGCCAAGAGTAGCCAGTGCCTCGGCGTTGGGGCGAGACCGGGGAGACTTCGAATTAGCGCCGGTCAACTCTGCCCACCCCCATTCAGCCATCGTGCCCACCAAGCCATTCTCTCTCCTTGCCTTCTCGACCCGATCAAGGCCCCTCCAGTCGAGAAACAGAAGGCAGGATGTCCGCAAAGGTACTATTCCATCGTTCACCACGTTAGAATAAAGCGTGCGACGTTGAAATTTTGAGAGCGCCTCGTGCGCAGGTCCACATGGAAGAATTCTCAAGAGTGGTTTAGACCGGGCGTCTGCGTATCCCTGTGATTGACTAGAATTTCCTCTTCCGCCAATTAAAGCCTCCCAGCCACTTCGAACCCTAGGTGCTGTCCAGCTAAGGCCGAGGTCTTGCCCAGTGCGACCGACAAGGCCCAAATCCAAGGCGAACCGAACATAGATTGGATTTTCATTGCTGAGACCAAGGAAAGGCGTCGCTAGAGAAACAAAGTTGATCGGTTTAACTTCGTCAAAGAATGCAGGGAAGTGCTTGTGAATATATGCAATGGCATATGTTTGGACAAGACCCCCAAGCGAGTGTCCTATGAAGCTGATACTAGTTATCTGATAAGCGCAAGCTTCGCAGACTGACTGCTCTGAATTGGTGCAGCAAGGCTGAGGAAGGTCTGAAACTGCGCCAGCGGGCCGTTTCCGATTAGAGAACAGCCCAGTGTGAGATGTCGTCTTCGTTGCACGACTGGGGAAATCCAGATGCGCCATCTGAAGGATATATTTCGCAAGACGCTTGCCAAGGTATTGTATACCACGCTCCGTACGCACTGCGTTCCCAGCAAAACCTCTTACTATAACCTGTTCATCTTCATGACTTCCAGCATGCCTATCAATATCTGTTAGACTACCAGACCTAGCAATGGTATCAAGAAAGCGGGGAAGAAAAGACTCTTTCTCAAGGCGAAAATCGCGCAGAACGTCTCCAATAGGGGGAAATGCTTACAGGTCTGATGAGGATAGTCCTGCGGGCTGGCTTGCGCTACGACTCGAGGAACTACCGTTTGATTTCTGCTTGTTGGCCCTCGTAACAGCATCAATACTCTCCTTGAGGAAAAGCATATCTGCACCTAAATTGCTGTGTAATCCATGAGTCAACACAACAAGGTGTATCCGTTTCCTACGGCTTTCATCAGCAGAAACTGTAGATTTGTGAGCAGTCGAGTTTGATGCCACCGATTCCTCAGCAACCGCATCTCTGACGAACACATCTTTCTCCTCTCTTTCTTTTTCGTGGCCAACTGAGGGTAGCTGTGGTGTGTTCCAAAGACTGGCCGTATCATCCACTCGTAGAGTAACCGCTCGAGAATGAACTCCCTTCTCTGCCAAGACCTGCATGCCCCTCGACTCAGGCGACCAATGATCCTTCAATTGAGCTGGTTTTGGTGTGCCGACCAGGGATATGCTACTCGTAGATAAGAGATCCACCGACGCTTCATCGCGACCGACCAAGAGCTCGAAGCTGACGGATGCGGTGTTGGAAAATACCACCTGTGAGACAATTTCGATTATCCAGGTAGAACTGCCACCATCATTCAACTCCTCTGCTCCGCTAGATTGTTCTTGAAATTGCTGCGCATGGTGCGGAAGGGTCACCGTCGCATACCAAGTACCACCTGCCTTGAGATAGGGCTCGTACTGCGGAATTCCTTCAAGGTTGTGATGAACGGATTTAACATTGGGGTCGAATGTGGATGGATAGCATGAGGCGTAGAGTGAGTATGGACCGTGAAGATACGCGGCCCGTAAGGGGATGGGGGTCGTATTCTTGATCTTCACATATAATTTTTTTAGCGGTGGGCGGATATTATCGGCCGCTGGTGTATAAGTTAACGTGTACCTGTGGAACGGAGGTCAATTAGTGCAAAGGGCGATGGAACCTAAGACGAATATGACGAACCGGACTACCTCGCCCACACGAACACTGCCAGCCTGGTGAATCAGAAGCATTTCAGCCGGGCAATCACAAATCCGGCCGGCAGGATGCCACCCTTGAAGTGTATTGAACTTGATATCACCCGTGTATTCAGCACAAACTAGGTCCTGATCTGGTGTTTGCGAGGCAAAATATGTCCGTGGAGAAATGAACATGGAGCTCAGATATAAGGGATGCCATTATTCATGGCCATTTGGAACCCCCTGTATCCAATCATAAAACAAGGATTTTATTCTCACTTGAAGAGACAATCGATTCAAGAGGCTACCCTGAGGCCCTTCGTCTGGGTAACTCTTTAAGACAAATCTTCAAAACAAAAGCGATGCGAAATAGGCTGGTTGGTAGAAGTCAGGGAATGAAGTAGCACCCAAAGTAGTTAGTAGTTCTGCTTGCCACTGCCAGAAGCTCTGCCCCCTATCTGATGGTCCGTCACATGTTTCACCCCTTTTAAACATGTTAACTTAATACTAGGTAACTATTGACACCTGTGGGGTTTCCAACACCACTAGCATCAAACCCGTTTCAGTAAGCGGTATAGGTTCCTAAGTACTCCATCCTCTGTGGTTCATTATTATTGAAACAAAATTCTTATATAGTTACTCTGTAATACATTATTTAAATACAGCATACTAAATCTGGTTGAACCTGACAGATATACACTTGGCCCTTTGGTCTATTTTTACCACTTTTTCACCTCTTTTGTATATTCTGCTACTGTTGTAAAATTCGAGGTATTCTACAAGCCTACTACAAAAGATTTCAATTCTCTACCAAAGACCAGCATATCTTATCTATAATTGGGTAGACTAGAATGTATATCTATTCTAATAGACTAGCATTGATTCTTGCTAATTCATACTGTGGCGTTTGTCATATGGTCTATTTTGCCGTCTTTTAGCAAGCCGCCTCATAGACCGCCTACCGAAACAATCAATCATATTAATCATACATAACGTTATCTACATTCTTGAACACTGCCATATATACTAGATTATTAGTAAAAAAGCTTTAGTACTTGAAAAACCTAAAAGATATTCTCAGTAGTTTTCTTCTTAATAAGAAATTGTGAGTTACTTACAGAACATAGAACATGTATACAATTTACTATTCCAGCTTTACAGAAGACCTTGAACAGTGCAGCATAGTATCACTGTTACTGCAGTCCTATACTTTGGGTTGGGGCCGGCGACTCTCCTTAAAACTAGCAACTACAAATCAGCTAATAATGGAGAGCTGTTTCTACTGCTGGTATAATTTATTTGTGTACCAATCACATCAAAAAGCCTTAATAACAGTATCCCAGGCCCTGGAAAACGTCCTGATGAAACATCCTGATAGCTCCAAAGTAAGAAGATGTAGAAAATACCTCAGTACTTCGGGCATGTCCAACCCAACCTCCCCAAACATCCAGCATGTACATGACACTCTGGAATCCTCGGAAACGCTAGCTTACGCCTCCCAATCAGACATCGGAATCACCGTGAGCAGGTATGAGAATGTTGAGATAGCGCTCCGGGATTTTCTGTACTTCGAGCCAGCCGCCATGCTCAATCGCGATAATCTTGCCATCTATACAAACTTTTCTCCATCTCTCGTCGACCTCGCCCAGGGTTATTCGGAAGCTCTCGATTTCACGATAAGTTACTCTGGCGTCATTGACATGCTTGCCTCCTTGATACGCATTGCTCATCAAGTTCATTGCCTGTTCCGACGTCATTGGTCCGAAATGTATGATTCTCAGGCAGCCATCTAATGGAGCTGACAAAGGTGATATCGTGAAACCTGGTTCGAGGTTCGACACCAAAGTTACCAACACGTACATGTGCTCTTCACATCCCAAAGCCTCTGTGTGTCGCTTGTTGGTCTGACGATCACGCCATGTGAAGCTGATACTACCGCGGAACTTATGTGGATCGTCACCATTTGAGGGAAATAGGATTTCCTTTGCAGCCATCTGAAATCTCTCCGCTCCATACTTGCGGTACTCAGCAGTATCACTATCCGCCACCAAGGCAGCATGCAAACCCCAACTTGCGACAACACCACCGTATACTGTAGGGTGACCAGTTTTACTCTGCGAGTGTGAATTGATGTTGACTCTTCCGCTGCCCGCTTCTGTAACAAGCCTTGAACCAGCAGAGAAAGTAGCCAAGAAGGCAGGTATAGGGGCGGGATGCCCATGCAATAATGCGGAAAGTCCAGCCGCTCGACTTTTTAGGAGCCCTATTGAACTGGCCATGGCATTGCCTGTTCCGGTTGGGATCAGGGCAATGATAGGCCTGGCAAGATATTGCATTGCTGCACCATGGAAGGAGTCGATGATGTCAGTCAGACCTCCATCGCCTGAAAGTAGAATTATTGTTTGCTTGATGCCCGCTTGAGCGCAGGGCATCAGTTTTGTGTGGCACAGTTCAACAATTGTCTGTGTGGTCCGGGTCTCATGAACTGCATACTCGCGCACCCCAAGTTGCGATAAGAGAGGGCTCAGGATATTCTTGTAGACACTCATGCCTGTACGTGTGCCAGAAGTGGTTGATATGATCACATGGATATCTACCTTTTCCACCTGTTCGTGAGTGAAAGCGCCGAGGTAGGGAGGTATATCTGAGCAGACGAATTTGGACAGCTGCGCAGGCAATGAAAATACTTCAATACTTTGGAGTGACATACACTCCCTCGAGACCTCAAACTCGTTCTCATCGAGCCACAAAAACAGCATAACATGCCTGGGAGCCTCAAGCTTATCGCCTCGGGGCAAGATACAGATTAAGTTATTGATCGAGATGGTAATCTCTTCCTGCGTTTGCGGGTGTCTGCATTGGATCTCATGTCCGTTCAGTTCGCATCGGAAGCCCTCATTATCTGGGCCTAATGCTGGTGCCATATTGGCAGTTCTCAAGGCAGTGCTCCTCGAGACGTATCCGGAAATAGGAGCGTCAAATGCGGTACTTGCGCCAAGTTGGCGGGCTCAATATAGGTCAGACTGACAGGCAGAGTTCCTTGGAGTCGGTGTTGAATATACTATACCGACTTTCATAGGCGACTTGCTAGTCTGGTTGCTTGCTGACCGAGGAATTGCTGACCGAGGATGGGGCAGAGGGCGGGGGTCATTAGTAGAACCTGATTTCCCGATAGTTGATGGGTTCCACTTGAGCACAACCTACCTAGTAGTCTGTTAGGACCGGACCAGCTTGGAGCTAATTGGTAGGTGTAATTTAAGTGACCCTTCTTCTACGTTTTGCTTAGTCAATTATTGCTAAGTCTTTCAAGCATAAGTCAGTGATCAATGTTTTGACTTGACCGGTATTATCATTGCTCACTGCCTGTAATTTTGCATTTTAGGTTTCACTGCATCTAGTCGAATGGACACATATGTACCAGGGAGGCTTTAGGTCAGAGCGAGTAGTAGTCTATGCTTCCATGATAATCTGAAAAGGTATTTTTATGAGAGGCAACTCGCGAGCGACGCAAGGCCTTCCAATTTAGAACGATAGGTAGCAGCAGATATACACTCCCGCACATAACACGGTGTATTGGCATCGAGATTATTTCTAAGCTCGGTTGAATAAAGACCAGGAGATAGGAATTCTAGAGTAACAAGCGATCAAACCCATTCGCCCGGTCGAGTGTTTACATCTAAGCTAGATGCTGTTCAGTTCTGGTGGTGAGGTATCCCGAGCGGGTACATGTTTGTCACTCAAATTCACAGCAATAAAGGTCTTCGGTAAACTGACACTAAAGCACTCTGGTCAGCATCTCTACCACCGCGAGCTATAGATCTAGAAAGGATACTTACGTATCGAACTTCGCCTTTAGTGTTTCTATGACTTCCTTCCAATCTTGATGGGGTGTCAGGCTTCGTCTAGGAGCACAGCCAATAGCATGTCTAGAATCAAGCTGAACATCTAGAGGGTCAAAAGCATGGCATCCAGGGCTGATGGATATGCGAATGGAGTAGGAACTAGTTGACGACTCACAGTCCTTAGCTTCATAAAGCTCGAAGCAGATCTGTGAAAGGTAGTCCAGCTCGGGTATAGCTGTCCTGGCTATTTTGGTTTGAATACCTCCTTCCAGTATGCAATTTAGCAGGGTGTAGATGTGAGACTCCTTGGTGAAGTAGAAGAAAGACTTCGCATCAGAGGAGGCCTGAACCTCCTCGAGATCTCTGACTATTCCCTGTAGAAGGGGCAACGACGTGAGCAATCCAATTTCAAGCTTTTCCGTGTCTGTAATTCCGTATTCCTGTGGAGTCACGTAGTCAAAGAGAACTTTGGCCAACTTATATAGCTCTCGCAGTTTCGATAGTCTTCCATCCAGTTTACACTTCGAGGGACTGGACCCAGGGTATAATTTGAAGTAGTGATCATATGTGTCATCGAGCCCTCTAAAATGGGGCATTGAATCGAAGGCGTGCATGCGCTTTTTCCAGCCAAAGCGATGAGCAAAGGATGACGATTCGGCCGGTCCATCACTTTTCTCGGGAATTACACCATCTTTGTTTGTTTTGGTATCTCCAATCAGGTCGTCTCGCGTAATTTTCTTCCAGCTATGAACATTTTGTTCGTCCTCGCTGTCATCACTATCCGGCGGCATGAAAACCCATTCTAGAAATTGCCGATTGTGTAGGGCATCGAATTTCATGCTATCATAGAGCTCAGAAAGCTTGCTTGGATCGACCTTCTCCGTATCACAGAACTCTGCGAATAGTTTTTCCCATCTCTCCTTGAAGAGCATCGGGTCTTCTCCGGTACACCAACGTCCTTGGATGGAGTCCAATGCAGGGTTCTCGTACTCAGCATCCGAGTGGCGGGCGCGGCCCCCATCATGATTATCAGGAGGAACAGATACCAACGGCTTTGGCGATAACTTGTCGATCATGCGGAAATTATGTCTCATAACATCTCGGTGGTATTTCATTAACTCGACAACAGTTGCCAGAACCACTGACGGCTCGGGGATATTGTCTTTTGGCCAGGTGAATTGTGATGGTGCAGATCCTTCCCGAAGAAGCAGTTTTAACTTTTTCTTAACCTTGTCCATAAGATCCTTTGCGGCATTGGAGTCATCAAGAAGATCCTTTCGTACTTGAATGAAGTTCTCAGGAAGTTCCTTCTGGTCAAGAAAAGCGCAGGCCCAGATTTGAGCTAAGACAGCAAGTCAGAGTCGTTTCACCCATATATATCCGAAGGGTCCAACTTACCACTAGTGCTCACCCTTCTCTCCGAGCTAGTAAAAATACGGACATTATTCAATGCCTCTTTATTCATCAATTTCAAATCATCACGCATATTGAGCCCTAGATCTTGCGACTGATAGCGTGCAGCATGGGTCGGTTCACCTCCCCACTTGATGACGAGCTGAAGTTTATCTAAGATAAGGTCATTCTCCGCAGCAGAGAACCTCGAAAACGTAGCACCCGAGATTGAGTCGCTTCGCGTTTGGGGACGACCAGTTCTATCTTCTGTCAAACTTCGGTCGTGGCAAGGCGTGGGCTGGGAGGATTCGTCTTGAGACTCCGCAGCAAGGTGGGTCGTGATGGGAGTAGAGGGTGACTGTCCTCGTAACTCTTCAGGTCTCCTCTTGCGGAACATTGGCTTGATTTGAACCTTTGTGCCTGGCCAGCCGCCTTTTCTTTCCAACGATGTACGAAGTAACTTCAGCTTATCCAAATCTTCGAGCTCTTCTTTCATAGCAACTTTTACTGCCTCCGAAACACTGGCCAATGCGGCTTCGCCTTTGATGACCACCTCTTCTTGGTGACCTTTCAGTAGGTCAATAAAAGGTTGACTGTGGAAAGTAAACTTAAACTTCTGTTTTGGTGTGCGATCGGCGTGTCTTATAACTGCAACCATGCCCTTCAGTTTCCAGGAGTGCTTGGAGGCAGGGGGAGGGGGCGGACAGCCATCGATGGATGAATCCACTGACACTATAGACGATTTCAGGTTTTGCGGATCATAGGACTTTGTAGTTGCATTTTTTTCCCGCGCGATGGGGCTTTTGTGACTGCTTCCATTGTCCAGGCTCTCGCCTGAAGGCGATGTAATCGGCCGGTTGACAATAGACTCGGATGATCCGGTTTCAGAGCTGTTGATGCTTTGTTGAGGCCCCTGAAGCTTTGACGAGCTAGGGGATTTCAATAGGGTCTTCAAAGTAGTCCTGTGTGATATCGAATGCCTCCAGTTGTGGCTAGATTCCTGGGGCAGCGAGTCAGATGGCTCTGGTAAACCGTCGCATCGGCGCTTCTCATTCAGGAAAATGTCCCTCAAAATCCCAGCGCATTTGTCGTAATAGTCGTTATTGTCTTTGACAAAACTCCAGCCATTCACGTCGATCACATAGCTCTTCTCGCCAACACGGAGCATGTCAAAACCGCAGATTCTCTGCCCAAATCCATTTGAGATTTTCGACGCAATCGATGCTTCATCTTTGCTCAGCTTTGTAATGTATCGAATTTCTTTTCCATGTGTATTGCGACGAACAAGCCCATCAACTACAGGAGACTTCCGCGTTTCGGCATGGCAAAAATCCGGTCCGACCGTGTAGGCTTTGACATCCTCGGAATTATCGACCCTAAGGAACTGCTCGTATATGTAGCTCGTATCATTTTCCGTTATCGATCTGGGAACAATGAGGTTGGGATCATATTCGGAGCTTTTGTTACCGACTTTGCGGAAAAGTCTCCTGCCCCCACCCCCATATTGTTGGTCGTTTGGGAAGTATATGTGAATATTGTGGTCTTCACCGTTCACCGGCTTCTCAACGAACGGCTTCTTGAGAACTTTGCCGTCAACAATTAAAGAATCACCATCATCAGACATTGTGACATTCATTGTTCGAGACGCCCCACCTCCAGTGCCGTCGCTGGGCCCTTCAAGCTTGACCCCTGTCATCCTATATACATGTTGAGCAAGTTCAGCAGATTCCAATATCGGTCCACCGTCTCTGTTGACTTCCATTCTCTTGGGAGAGGGCACACCCATATGATCTAGTATTCTGAGACAAAGTCGACGGTCCCATAGCACCTTTTGCATGGGTAAATCATTGACGCAAAATGGTTTTCGAAGTCTTGCGTATGCGATAGCTTTGTCCAATGGAAACCCATCTGAAAAGAATGCTATGAGGTATTCACAAACTGGCCAATTTTCTACAGCCTCGTCAAGAATAACCTTGTCACCGAAGACAATTACTTCAAAACCCCCTTTAGCTTGCAGGCGGGTCAGTATATTTTGGCTGGGCTTGCTGCGAGCCTTGACATCCAAAGCACAAACACCGATTCTGCCTAACTTCGGCACAGAAGGCTCAGATTCACTTATTGAGCTTGTAGCCGTGCTTGCACTGAGTCTTCTGGGCGCTCCGGTTGATGACCGAATGCCATGGTTTTCCTGACCGCTGATTTGAGACTCCAATATACGATCTGACTTGCGCGTGCTTGCACGAGGGGATTGTGCACCAATTGTATTTTCATGTGCTGAGCTCGAGACGGTCTTATCCTGGTTGGAGGTCACGACTGCAGGGGTCCCTAGGATAACTGGGCTCGCAGTAGTGCCAGCTGTTCCTGAATCGGCGGAATCGGGTATTGTGACAAGACGGCTGCTTTGACCAGCAGCATCCATCATCGAGAAAAAATACCGGCTTGAGATGGAAAGGTAGTCAATATTGATCCTGCGGATGCTAGCTGTGCTGAGGCGTCACAATCAAATCAACGCACCAATGCGGGACGGGACAGGTAGTAGTCACCAAGCTCGGCTAATTATAGAGATATAGTATACAATCAATTGGGTGAAACAATCAATTGGGTGAAAGAATGAAATGTTCCAAATCGTACTTGGGCACTCGAATTGGGTGGCAGTTGAAGGTGCCCGAAGTTGGCTCTGGATTATTGTGGGTTGTGTTGCCCTTTCTAATTATGTATGCAACCGGTGAGAACAAAGTTTGACACCCGCCTACCCAGCGATCTTGACATCATCACTGGTTAGTGGGAACAACTGCCGAAGCATGGTACTGGTACCCAAAGCATCATTTACAAACCACGCCTCGACTGGATGAGTACTCGTAGCTGCTGACTGAACAAAGTACTTCAATTCGGCATACATATAATATATTACAAGAACAATTCTCACTGTGTGGGTTATAAGTATAAAAGCTCCGAGGCTCCAAGTATCAAATGTACAAGAATTGCCTAAAATACAGTGTACATTTATAGAATATCTGAATTACTTCATATCCGCAAGCTATTAGGTACAGCACACAAACAAGCCAATAGTAAAATATAGAAGATCTGATGCCAAATTCTAATTTAATAATTGCTATTAACACCAGCTGTAATTCTAATACTACTGGAACTAATTCTTCTATGGCAGGTGGTAAGCCTTACAGACTTTTTATCTGTATAATCATACGCTGATATATAAATCTTGATATAAATATTAATTATTCTAATGAAAAGAATTAGAGAAAGATATTCTAAGACAGAACCCTAATACCATACCTTCAGCCCCTAAGAGTCCTACAGATTTCTAATATAATGTCTAATGCAAGAAGAGTCTTCCTATGGAGATATGTATTTTAAATACAATGCTGGTTGCAATAGAAGTTTAACCTGTGTCAATAGCCAATATTACATAAGTACAGAGCTGCGTCCTAAAATATTATTAAACTGCACTGATTTTTTTTAGCTGAAATCTATGTATCTCCTTGTAAATGTGATATATTAGAAGTCTAACTATCTAGGTATAGCTCTGCAGTATTAGTTATTAATTAAGTAAACCCCTTTTGGTGTATTTTATTAAAGCTACTATAGTAATATTTACCATAATAGGCTATATAAGCTATTTGTTTCTAAGTAATTCTTACTCCATCCAGCTCTAGGATTTAGTACTTTAGGCTGTATCTGCATTGTTATTATATGTTGAATTAATCATGACAATCAGCGCAGTTCAATAACTTCTGGGGCACGGCTCCATAGAGTAGGTATTAAATAGTAATTTAATTACATGCGCCTTACCTTGTCTGAGGGCAAGACAGCCACACACGTGACTACGGAAAAGATTGGCGCGGATATATTGTAATTCCGTTGGAAATTGATTAGATCCGACGAAGGTTTTATCATGAGTTCATGAAAATCAGGTCGACTGCGGCAGAACACACATGATTTTTCTTTCGGGCACTTGGCACCATGTCGTCAACTAACGATGACAGCTTTGATCTACCATCCGCGAAGAGGCAGAAGCGAAGAGATAGTTTGCAAGGTCGGCAACCGGTACAATCACTTGGTTCCAAAATATTTTCACCATACCGGGTATGACATCGATTGTGCTGGCATGCTTTCGCAAAGAATTTGCCTCTCTGTCGAAGATTATCAGCGCTAATGTACACGCAGACACTAGGACTTGTAACGACAAAGATTCCATTTACTTTTATCCGATTGGGTAAATCGACATATCAGATCACTACGTCTGTCGGGCGCAGCTTGCAAACCTACGATTTACAGCGCGGACTTAGCCTGGTCTTTGTGAGCCGGCCTCAGACTCCAGACATCATAACGGCAACGTTCGCCTGGCAAGACAGGGTTTTTGCGGCATGGGGAAGCCTCCGACCTGGATCTCCAGGGGGCATATGGGTCTTCAAGCGTGGCAAAAAAATTGCATCGTTGGAGCTGCCACCCGAGGTCACTGAGCCTATTGACCGGCTGTTGGTCTTTGGATCATGGGTAGTCGGCAGCTGCGGCAAAAGTATATCAGTATGGAAAAACGCATCGTACGAGCATTATACAACGCTCTTCCCGCAACAGACAAAGGAGTCATCGATAGAGCAGGTTTATACCGGTCAGATCTGCAATATGCCAACGTATCTGAATAAGATATTCGTTGGAAGGTGTGATGGAAAGGTTGATATCTGGAATGTCAAGTCAGGAAAGTTGATTCACTCGATAGTGCCAGCGTCCTCTTCCGCTGGGGCTGTAACTGCTCTACAAGCAAGTCCTGTCCTGTCTCTGATTGCAATTGCGTACAAGAATGGGCCAATTTCTGTTTGTGATGTGCAAACAGGTGAAGTGGTGCTATCTTTACGAAGCAATATATCACGCTCACCGGAAATTACATCTCTTACCTTCCGAACAGACGGGTTGGGTGCGGGCGAAGATGGCAGAGTATCAGGTGTCATGGCAACGGCCTGTGTGGATAGTGGCGATATCACTATGTGGGATTTGAACAACGGTGGCAGAGTATCTGGTGTTCTTCGCCAGGCACATGGGGTTTCCAATGACGATACAAGCTCTGGTGTGAGTCATGTCCAGTTCTTGGATGGTCAACCTGTTATGATTTCATCCGGAGGCGATAACTCCCTGAAAACGTGGATCTTTGATCAAAATCCCTTCTCAAACACTCCTAGACTTCTTCACTCCCGGAGTGGGCACTCAGCCCCGGTCACCGCTGTTGAATTCCTCCCTGCTGCATCTGATGGATCGGAACTTGGAGGTAAGTGGTTGTTAAGTGCAAGCAAAGACCGAAGCTTGTGGGGCTTCAGTGCGCGCAAGGATAGCCAGAACACGGAGATCTCTCAAGGTGCTATTGAACACAAATTGAAGAAAAAGACCGCCTCAAATGCGACCATGAATGTTCATGGCCTATCCGAAAATGGATTCAAAGCATCAGAGATCACTTGTATCGCCTGCTCGCTAAATCGAGATGGTGGGATGGGGACAACAACATCAGGTCCTGTTTGGGCCAATCCGACGGTAACGAGGACAGACGATTCTAGCAAGACTGGCTGGGAAAGTATAGTCACTGGCCACCGTGGAGACAAATATGCCCGGACATGGTTTTGGGGCAAAAAGAGAGCTGGGCGCTGGACATTAGAAACCGGTGATGGCACTGAAGTCAAAGTAAGCTTGATTCAGGTTCGTATCGCTGGCTGATATTCGCTAACACATGCGCCAGAGTGTCGCTATGTCACAGTGCGGAACTTTTGCAATAATAGGTTCTGCGGGGGGCAGCATAGACATGTTCAACTTACAGTCTGGCGCTCACCGGCAAAGCTTTCCTCCGGTTCGAGACTCACGGGGCAATGGAAAAGATAGGCGTACGAGTTCATTTAAGCGACCTGACAGCTTTTCGAAGCATTTAAAGGCAGTCACTGGCCTGATGATTGATAGTTTGAACCGAAATGTTGTGAGCTGTGGTCTCGATGGAAAAGTTAAGGTACGTTGGGACATGGATTCCTGTACATCAACTTGCCACAGTTAACGTCTGTACAGTTCTGGGATCTTGTTTCTGGATCATTGGTCGATGAGCTTGACTGGTATCCTATGACATCAATCAACGGACTCCGCTATAGCCGCACAAGCGAGCTCGTTGCGCTTGGCTGTGACGATCTTTCCATCCGCGTTGTTGACGTGGAAACTAGGAAGGTAATTCGAGAGTTCTGGGGTTGTATCGGCCAAATAAACGATTTCTCATTTTCCAATGACGGACGCTGGATCATTGCTGCATCAATGGACTCTACAATCCGGGTTTGGGACTTGCCAACAGGACACCTTATCGATGTTTTCCGTGTTTCCAGCACTTGTACCTCGGTTGCTATGTCTTCAACAGGTGAATTTCTGGCAACTGCGCACGCAGATGGCTTGGGGATAAGTCTTTGGTCTAACAGAAGCTTGTTTGTACCCATCTCCACACAGAATGTGGACGATCGCAAAATAAGCAGTGTTGGCATTCCTGCGTCTACCGTTGAATACGCATCAGGCGTCATCGAAGCCGCATTTTCCGAACAGAATGTGGAAGATGAAGTAGATGGCCCATTACCTACCATTGACCAGCTCAGTGAAAACATGGTCACGCTGAGTGTCATTCCTAAGAGCAAGTGGCAAACGTTCCTTCACCTGAATCTCGTCAAGGTACTCCTCACCGGATCTCCTACTATAGTACCCAGGAAGTTATTGTTTCTTGCTTCTGAAGTTGCTTGGACCCTTCTGACTTACTATTTTACAGGAGCGAAACAGACCAAAGGAACCCCCTAAAGCCCCCTCCAAGGCCCCTTTCTTCCTTCCGAGCCATTACTCCGACTCAAGCACAGCGGGAACTGAGCCCACCGGCTCCCCGGGAATAGCTATCGTTGAACGCTCAAGGATCGCAAAGATGCAGCGTATCGGTGAAAGCGGTATCACAAGCTCCAAGTTTACCAATCTCCTGCAGTCCGGCCATGTTTCGAATGACTTTAATCCTTTCATTGAATACCTCAAGTCACTGCCTCCAGCGAAAGCGGATCTTCAAATCAGGTCATTGGAACCCCAAAGGCAGGCCAATGGCTCCGAATTGTCAGACTTCGTCATAGCACTTTCATCCCGGCTTCATCAGAGGAGAGATTTTGAGCTTGTTAATGCTTGGATGGCTGTCTTTTTGAGAGTCCATGCAGATTCTGTGGCGGCATGTTCTGTTCTTGACGGCGACGACAATGATGACCCTCTGAAGAATGCTCTCCTTGCATGGAGCCAGGCACAACGGCGTGAGGCCCAGCGGTTGGCCGAGCTAGTGGGATACTGTCGGGGAGTGGTAGGATTCTTGAGGTCGGCCCGTTAAGTTGTAAACATTCATTACCAGAGCCCAGGCATAACGGATGAACTTTATATACTGTGTTTCTTTCATCCTTTGAATGACTTTTATTGGGCTCCGCATCTTAGCCGAATACACAAGACAGTAGAAATCGAGATCAAACAATAAGTGAAAGACGTTCATTGGTGTGAGAGAAGCTCGAAGATATTCTGAGGCCGTACCGGCCACGTGCGACTTGTTGCCGTCGGTTTGTGGTAAGTTGACCTTGGATCCCCGGATTTCAGGGTTTGTGTACCACCGGCGGACACGCACGGTCTTTCTCTCCTTCCATGGTCGTCGCCGCTTTCATCCCATAACAGTATGGCTTGATTAATGGCATCCTTAGCAGGGAAGATCGCTAACTCTTTCTTCATCTCATGTACTGATCTCATCAAAACATGTAGCGGTGGTAAATGGGCCAAAAAGGCAGATACTTGAGTCGTCTGTCTGTCAGAGAACTCTGATATCCCAAGCAATTGCTTAAGGATCCTCAACGAATATAGAACGGATTGGATCTGGGCTAGCACGTGAACATCGTCCCAGTCCAAATTATTGCTCATAGACCCATGGGCCAAAAGCCGCTTTAGCTGATCGAGGTTTGGAGTTTTAGTCGTCGTCTGCAGTCCAAATATAGTATAGAGGGCAAAGGTCCTCCAAAAGACCGGGCAGTCAACCTCAATACCAGTCTTCGCCTGGACGACATCAAGCTGGTCGAGCAAGGATTGAATTTCTGCTGATAGTGAAGATTGGTTCTCCAAGGCTATCATGTCGCATGTAACTCTTCCACCTCGCCTGATGTGCTCAATAATGTACTTATGCCTTTTATCTATCGGTTGTGTTAGATTAAAAAGAGAATAGCCTATGACCCTGATCACACGTCCTTGCAACCAAGCACACTGCCGCTTCGGATCCTCAGTGAGCATCACGAGATACATACTCAGCGAAGCGTCGTGTGAATAGGTCCCTGGGAAAAGATACTGAGCGACCATTTCTGAGACCCTGGTATCGAGTGACTGGGGATATCGCTTTCCTATATTATCAACAAGGATGCCCGGAGAGGTCTGGTACTCCTTCGAAAACTGAGGATAGCCTGGGGCAGGACCAGGTGCCCTGTCAACAATCTTTGATCGCCGAATAAGCTCTCCCATCCCAATCCTCGGATTTGATTGTAGCACAAATGCCAATGGTAGCAGTGATTCCAATCCCAGCCGGCGCGCGACTGTATTCGGACAAATGCCCTGGGCTGTAATTGAGTTGTCTGGATATGTGTGCGCCAAACTCATGGAACTGACAAGGATAACGGATCCTGATGAGCCTATATCGTACAAGAGCAGGTCGGAATCATTTGTAATTATCGAACAATCATTTTCCTTGGCGAAATGGGCACAGTAGGAGTCCGCCTCGCCTGGGACCATGATAGTTACATCAGCCCAGGGCAAACTTGCGAGACGGTTTGCAGCCATACGCAAGAATGAATCAACCGGAAGGGCTTTGAGGATATTCTCCTTGGACCAACGTTGTCGGAGGTCTTCATAAACCGCAGGGACGATAAAATGGTTTTCTGGTACCAGGGTGAGATTGGCAGGCAGGGTCCTGCTTTGCAAGACATTTTCCCACCGGTTGACTGTCATCCTTTCTGGGACAGGAGATGTACTTAGACAACCCGAGTGGCTTATCCGAAAGGCCTCAAGTCTTTTCCTGGTCTTCTCCAAGCGAGCAAGGCGTGTCGACTGCTTCAATGGAGGCAAAGCACCGTCGAAGCATACTTTCTCTCTAACAGGGTATGTGATTAGTTGAATTAATCTCACAACAGGGTTTCGTCCATACTATACATCGTCACGCCTAAAGACGTCAGGTGAAGGAGGAATAGCATAACCCCATGGCTCACTTCATCGCAAGTTGGTTGTATATCGGGGTAGCGAAGATCGGGATGAGACCACGATAGCAGGCGATAGTAAACATGGTAGACAAGACTAGGCCCGTCTATTACGACATGTTGCGCAGTGGTTACGCCTGGCGTCGGATGCACTCGATCATGTAGACATACTGCCTCTAGAAAGGGCTCTAGATGCTGTTTAAGCCGTGATATACCCATTCTCTCCGAAGGGATAGAATACGTGGTGATAGCTAAGAAGTGATTCAATGATAATGTCAGAAGAGTGATAATAGGACCAGGATTTGGACGTATTGGACTAGAGTGCTAAGCAGACTATTTCTGATTGGTATTCTACTGCCGCGGACCGCCTAAATACTTCTAGAAATAGAAATTATATACGAGGGCCAGACCTGCGGGTTCCTCCCTTGGCGCGACACTCCTTTAGCGGGCCCAGCAGGGCCCGTACTTGCACCTCCTTGAGCACATTCTTTAACATTGTTCCTATTAGCACATATATATTGATTCAGACCTACGGCCTGAATCTGCAGCTGGGAGGGCAAGCGCCCGGCAAGTAATGTAACTCCTTAGAGAAACTAGCACAAAGTTTAAAATTTTAATTTTTATATAAAAATATTTTAACAGAATCTTTATATTAGATTCTGTTAAGGTTCCAAAATTATTGTTGAGTGAAATTAAGGATGTTTTTTTAAACCAAAGGTTCTTTAGTTATTGAAGTTTATTCACGAAATTTCTGAAATTTTTTAAAGAAAGGCGACTTTCCAGCCAATCAGCATTTGCGACCCTTGCTCAGGCCCTCATAGAGTCGCAAAGCTAGCGCTTTAAAAATTACATGTAGGTAGCCTTTTGTTAGCCGCACTGCACGCCAAGGCTGCCTGTTAGGCTACAAAGCAATGATGACTTCGACCGTACAAGAATTCCATTTATGAGAAAAGAGAAGAGAAAGGCCCTGCGGGCCTTCACTCTGGACTATGTACATATACAGGGCCATGAGTGCCTCAGGCACCCATGGTTGGTCACAGGACAGGCTGTCAAGGATTCCGTCGCTGCCGCCGCCAACATTTCACCTACAGCAACTTAAGCACATAGACTAGTAAAAAATAGTTAATATCTACTATTTATATCTCTGCCTAAACCAACTACTGCCAATACAAATAGTATCATTCTATTTTTATTTCTAGAATTATCTAAAAAAAGCATTTAATCACTAAATACAATTACTAGGAAAAGTATTTTAAATTAGTATATGTTATAGGTAACCTTTTAATATTGTAAGGGCCTTGCGAGCCCTTCCAACCTTCGCGGTTAATATCGCGAAGGAATATATATAAAAAAAGGCCTAAGATATCAGCTATATAATAGCTAAGCATAGAGTGGCTAACGGCCAGGTCAGGTCAGGTTAATTAAAATTTTTATACCTGACTGCTGTCAAGGTGCAGGCTGGCTGGGTAGTAGGAATAGCAGAGCTGGCTGGGAAGATCTTAATAACTGGTTTTTTTATTTTTAACTAGCTATTTAGATTAGGCTATTTTTAGATTTATAAATAAAATATAGCTTAAAAAGCTATAAATAGGATTAAAAGTAAATAAAAGATTATAAAAATTATATATTATATATTAAATAATTAAAAAATAGTAAGATTTTTAAAATAAAATAAATAAAATAAATAAAATAGATTAAATAAATAAATAAAATAGATTAAATAAATAAAATAAATATATTAAATTTATACTATAATAGTATACCCCTCTTTTAAAGCTAAGCTTTATTAAAATATAGTTATAATTTACTAAGAAAATAATAGTAAAAGTTATTAATTATTTAGTAAATATTTTTAAAATATTATATTAATTTTATTATAAGGTCTAAATAACTAATCTATTTTATAATATATATTAAATAAAGGCGGCTGTATTCTTTATAGTTTTATATAAAATTAAAAATATTTTTTAATTTTTAATTTTTTTTTATATTTTTTAACTTTTATATACAGCAGCAGCAGCTGGTATTATTTTAATAAAAAGGTTTTACTAACTAAAATTAGTAAACTAATATAAAATATAAAATATATTTTTATATTTAATAGTAAAACTAATTAGTATATATATAAATTAATAATTTTTTTAATTCTATATAGTTTTAAATTATTTTAGTTAAATTTTTTACTAAGTTTTAGGATTTTCATATAATAGATATCTAACTATATTTTCTAATTTTTTTAAATCTTTTAGCTGGTTTATATTTTTAATTAGTTTATTTTATATATAATACTTAAATAATAGCTATTTTTATTTTAGTAAATTTAATAATAGTCTATATTTTTATAGTAAACTAGTCTATATTTAGATAGTAAAAGTATTTATAATAAAAATTGGTTTAAATTTTATATAAAAATAAAATAATTTTAATTATATTTAAATAAATTATATTTAGTATAAATTTAGCTAGTAGAAGCTACTAGCTCCTATTATTTTATAAATAATTTATATAAATATAAAGATATTATTTAAATATAGTATTAACTTATTTAGACTGGCTATTAGTTTTAAAATAATAAATAATCAAAAATTTACTAATAATATCTAATTCTTATATTAAATATTTTTAAAATTTAAAATTAAATTAAAGACTTTTATTTAAAAAAAAACTATTTAAAATAATTTATATAATTTTTATATATATTATATATATTATTATAACAGCGGTAGTATTTACTATTATATTATAAAAAATTAAAGTATTTTATTTTATATCAAATAATTCATAATAATTAACACAGTATAATAATTTTAGTTTTTTAATAAGTATATAATAAAGTCTATAAATATATTTTATTAGGACGTGCTCGCTCAATTCCTCGCATGCTTCCTCCGCCGCAGTTCTTTGATGTGCTTGCTTAATTCCTCGCACGCTTTCTCTGCTGCAGTTTTTTAATGTGCTTGCTTAATTCCTTACATACTTTTTCTACTATAGTTTTTTAATATACTTATTTAATTCCTTGCATACTTTTTCTACTGTAGTTTTTTAATATATTTACTTAATTTCTTATATACTTTTTCTACTGTAGTTTTTTAATATACTTATTTAATTTTTTATATATTTTTTCTGCTGTAGTCTTTTAAAATACTTACTTAATTTTTTATATACTTTTTCTACTATAGTTTTTTAATATACTTATTTAATTCCTTATATACTTTCTTTACTGTAGTTTTTAAATATATTTACTTAATTTTTATATACTTCCTCTGCTATAGTTTTTTATTAAAGTAAGTAAAATTATAAAAAAAATAGTTTTTTAATTATATAATTATAAACTTATTATATAATGATATACTAGTTATATAATTATAGGCCAGCTATATAATTATAAGCCTGCTATATAACTATAAGACTATAAACTATATATATCTAGTTATACTGTAATAAAAACTACTAAAGATTTTTAATCTAATATATATAATTAATATATTATTATAATTATATATAGTATTATTTATTAATTATTATATAATGTTTTTATTAATCAGCAGCTCTGTTCTATATATTTATTATATAGTTTTTTAATATATTATTTTAATATTATATAGTACTAAAACAGCTGGCAGCTGATAGTTTAATAGTAAAAAACTATAGTTCTAGCTAATTATTATAAATTTTATTTATAGTTAAATATTTTTAGTTTTTTTTAAATATATTAATTCTATTATTCTACTTAATCTAGGTCTATATTTAGAATAAATATATTTTTTATTATTTAGATATAATTTTTTAACACCTTTACTAATGCTGATTAATTTTAATATTTTTAAATATACTACTGGGTGGTTATATTGTATATAATAAATTATTTAAAAGCTAAGCTAACCAGCTAGTATATAGTTTTATTAGTTTAAACAGTTTATAAGATTATTAGCTGGCTGTATAATTAGCTTATATTTATAAATATATAAATATACAGACTGTAACTATTATACTATATTAAATAGTTTTAATAATTTAGTCTGTTTTTTTAAAAATCTTTTCAGCTATTTTAAAGGCCTGTAAGCTAAAATAGTAAAATTTTAAAATATTTATTACAATTTTATTTATTTTTAGTTTAGATTTATTTACCGGCTTCCTACTAGCAGTACCTAATAATAATATTTTTTATATATAAATATAATAAAGCAGTAATTTTTTTATATAAAAATATTATTTTAAAATAATTTATAGACAGGTCTAGACAGCTTTTATAAAAAGTAATAATATAATTATAATAATATAAATTTAAACAGCTAAACACCTGTATATTAAAAATATTAATTTATATACTATAATTTTAGATAATACTAAACAGCTAATTTATAATATATAATACTAGCTACTTTTATTTAAAAAAGAAAAGTATATATTAATTATAAACTACTAATATACTATTTTTTTATTTATAGTATTCTTAATTAGTTTTTACTATTCTGATTAAACAAAAGATTAAATAAAAGATTATAAAAATTAATACAGAGCAGCTGGACGGGACTACTATATTTTATATTAGTTAGTTTAAAAAAACTATAAAATAAAAACTAAATTATTTTTAATAGTTATTTTTTTAAATTTTTATATAGCTAATTGGCTAATTTACAGCCGGCTGTTTTTATAAAAATAAATATTAAATATAAAATAGTTTAACTTTTAGTATTATATAATTTAATATAGCTAATATTATTTTTTTTAAATATATCTAGTACTGCTGCAGTATCTCTATATACTATTTATATTATACTAAAAACTATAATATATACTACTGTTAGATTTATAATTTTTTAAATATCTATTAATACTGTTTCTACTGTAGAAATTAACCTACTTTCTACTAAACCTATTTAAAGTAATAGAAAAAGAAATTAAAAAAAACCTATTAGAAAAAGGCCTGTTTTTTTAAGCCAGCTAATAAAATAGGACTATTAATACTTAATAAATTATAACAGCCGATTAATATAGTTTGATTAAAGGCAGCTATTAAAGCTGAAATTAAAATAAATACTATTATAAAAACTTTAGCTGCTAAGCTTTTAAAAGTTACTAAATTTATAAATTAAAGCTAATTATAGATATACTAGCTAAAATAATATATCCAGCCTGTATTGAATCTATTAAATTTAATTATTTTTTTAGTAATAGACCTTTCTATAGCTAATCTAATTATATAAACTTTTTTATTA